CTACGTTTTTTGGTTTAACTTCCGTCCGTATTGTGAAGACATTGTTTATATTGAAACTATGTAACCTTATGTTTAATATAAAAATGGATGATATTAATCTAGATAACCTAACTGATACTAGTACAATCGAAGAGGGTACTGATGAAACCAGCTTTATGAATCTTAACGAGGATCTTTTGCAATCAACCGTTAATGATTATTATTATGCCTTTAAAGAAACTCCTATTGGTCGTGATTATTCAAAGTTTACGATAGTAATAAAGGAATATTGCGACTGCGTGGCTCTCTGGATATTGATCTTATGAATTCTCATACTCGTGAGCCCCTAAACTTGTCTATGATGGCTAGTAAACACGGCATCAACACTGTTCGTAATGAATTAGGTTTTGTAGACTACTCACGAGAAAAACTTTCTGTGAAGACTATTAAGGTTCTTCAGACTGTGCGAACTGAACTCGGTGTCATAGATAAAGATAATTTGGAAGAAATCTCGAAGTGGGCCTTGGACGGATTTGGAGAAATCTTGGATACCTACTACGATAATTCCATGTTACAGGTACCATCCTTTGAGTACAATATAAGGTAATTACGAGGCCTTGACAAGGCAATGTAAACAGTACGAAAGATCGGCCCCCCTCAAAGCGGCTTCGAGTAATAGAAAGGCACTTCGTTCACAAATCAGTCAAATTCGAGAAACTATCGATCAAGTCCTAAACTAAGATACTACACTGGCCGATAAAATTAAAACATTGTTCAGAGAACAGGGGATAACCATTGCCAGTATTTTAACCGCATTGGGATTTATTATATCGACTTTAACTCTCGCGTTAACCAGTTGAGGTGGGCCACCCACACCACCTAGTGATGAGGATGGTGTAAAAGAGTGGATAAAAAAGCATTTAAAGGCATTAGGAGAAGCACTGGGAAAGCTCGCTCTGAAAGCCGCGTCTGCACTTCCTGGTAAAATAGGGAGTATTGTTACCTTGCTCTTGAATTTATTAGCAAAGACCACCACTTGGCTTAGTCAAAACTTGTGGGCACTGATCGTAGCAATTGCCGGGCTGTTGTACTTATCCGTTTAAGACTATTTATGCAAATCATGAGTAAACCAGCAGCGACTCCACCAACTATAAGCGCTGTTTTTTCATCGATATGTTGTTGATTTTTAGCGGCAATATGTGGCGGCACTTGTGGTTGTGCGTCAGTAGATGGCTGTTTCGGTGACTGTGGCTTGACTATTCCCGTTTCACCTGTGTTTGTTTGCGTTATTAATTCGGGGTTAATATCTGAATTTATACCTGGTTTTTGTTGATCAGAAGCAATAACAATTATAATTAGGGGACATCAGAAATGGGCTACATGCATTGTACCCATGTGGGGAAATCGAATCCGGGTCATCGGCGTGACCAGCAAACGCTTTAACCTATAAGCGCCCCCTGTAGTATGAGATGGTAATGTAACTGTAAAATCTTCTAGTGCCTCATACGGGAGGATGGTTTAGATACTGCCAAGGTCTGAGAGGTCATCTTCGCTAATACCACTGGTCTTACGGGAATTTGGTCGAATCTCCCTCTTCATTGCGTTGTATTTGGTTAGTTCTGACAAAACTACACGAAATTCCTCCTCGGATATCTTACAATCAGCCAGTGCTGTTGAAATATGATCCTCAATGCTGTTCAACTTTGCTTCGGCGAGTATCCGAATTTTATCATGTTTTAATGCTTTCTTTTGCAACTTACGAGAAATAAATTTTATCGCCATTCCTGCCAGTCCTGAGACTCCGGCCGCTACTTCCATACCAAGTACGATAGGCGCGGGGATTATAGTTGATAATAAACCAACACCGGTTATACCGAGTCCCATGCCAGCTGTTACAAGTGCAGTGTCGACCAACTCCATCGAGAACATTCACAGCTCTACGATACTTTTTATACAATCCAAGTCTAAACTCCCTCTCCTTCTCTATTCGATGTTTTATGTCGCTTATTTGATGTAATCGAAATCCATCAACAGTATCCATCTTTTCAGATGCTTCATCGAGCACCGGATATAAACTCATAATGTATATTATTATATCATATAATAGTCTTTAATTGATCTTGCTTAAATGTTTTGAGAGTATACATCAACCTTATCAAATGTATATTACGTGGCATAAATATCTTAGCAATCAAAATGCTTTCACCTTTATTAATTTGGACCTCCTCAAGGGTTGCAACGGGTGATACTCCCATATAAATAATACTGCAACGCTGACGCTCGTGTTTCTTAAGCCATTTAATTGAAAGACCTGGTAATATCTCAAGGGCATCTACCGATGCATCCCCAAACAAGACTTCAATAATAAGAGTAGAAAGATCAGGTATAGCGTTCAAGTTCTGTTTTATATCATTGAATTGAGTAACCAAATTTAAAGCAACATTTTTTAATGCTGGACGACTCAATAACATATAACCTGGGTTTTCTGGCAGGGGAGTGACCAACACACTTTTTCGTTTTGAGGGGATATAAGCCCCGAGTACGATCCCACTATTCATTATCTTAGTTAATTGATGTCCCTTACCCGTCATCACATATGGTGGGGCAATGACGATATTCAGTAGCCACTCGATTTTTTCTTCGACCATAGTCCATTTATTATCATCATTGCGAGTTAGATTGTTTAAAGTGTTTTTATTGAGTCTACTAACGTAGACATCACTTAAATCTCCTAGATTACCTGTAAATACAACTTCTTTCCGCATGTATACATTATCTTGTAAGTATAAAGCGTATAACTTACCATCGGTACCAGATTTACTGAATCCTTCTATGTCTCCAAGATTGGAAAGCGCAATTGTATTACATTGTCTAAGGTTATGCGTTCCAGGGCCCGATGAATCAACCATTATTTATAATATGGAGTGTTACACTTAAGTATCCTATATGTACAGGTTGATGCTTTTACATCGAATACAGAAATTTTGAGATCTGAAATAATGCACAACTCTTTATAGGGAACTAAATCAGGCAATTTAACTCCATGCACTCTTTCTTTGGGTTGTTTTATTGATTTTAACCCCAAAAATCCAAGTGTAGCTGATAAGTACGGGGGAATATCTACACTTTTTTCTCTAGGGGGTTAAAATCAACATCCCATTCGACTCATTTGGTGTGAGACTAGCTCCCAAAGGCTTAAAAATTTCATCATTGAGTGAGCATACGCTTTAATACCCATCAGGTATATTGATGGTTTTTAATAAATCATCAGTTTCAACTATTAATAACCTATTATTTTCTCTCACAGCATTTATATTGGCCCACCGCGGGCAATACGTTGCAGAGAGCGACTTCAAGTTGCCCAGCCGAGTTATCGATAGTAAGAAGCAGTTGAATAGACTGGCCATTTGTTATTCCTGGGAGTGCAACATACATATTAAATATACAAAGATACTATATCATAACTTAAATATGTAATCAACTTACATTACGAATCGATCGATTTTAGTTAGTGCCTCTGGTGCTAAGTTTTCGTTAAATTTCCCGATTTCTCTAAAAAATACAGGGTCGCGGCAACTAGCAATAAAGTAGTGCATGACTGGTTACAAAATCCGATGCAATTTTGGCAAAACCAGTTAAATTTTGGCATATGGTGTTCCACAACAGGATGTGGTGTATCTCTTTATGCCCCAGGATTTGAACTAAATGAGTCTGTTTTATCATTTCACTCGTACTATCAGATTAGACGTATACTTAAAGAAATTAGTGCCCCATTACCGCAGGATCGAGCATGGAATTCGTCAAATAATCCGTTCAATAGGTTTGCGTATGAACGTATTTGTCAGGAATTTAATATGTCTACGAGTAAAGATTGGCGTATTAAAGGACTTAACCATGGTCTAGCTGTTCTGTACAGCGGAAAAAGAACTGCTAAAGAAGAAAGCGATTATTAAGTTTAAAAAACTCATCAACCATTCGATCCATTTAAGTTGTTACAGAAAAACAATCTTTTTGTAAGATTGCATAATCTTAATCATGGCTGGGAACGTTCGAGTAACGATTGGAGAGGAGATCGTATGAGTTTTAAGAGTGGTTTAGCTTAAATTGTTACAAAATTTGTGCAACTAAACGATACTGCAAACGCTTGGAATGAATTTCTGTATGATAAAACAGAAAATAATTTTACTAACCAAGGAGTTGTAAGAGTTAATGAATCAATAAGAACTTATGTATGGGCAATTCTTGGTGCACAGTCGCAAACACGAACGGGAAAAATCGGTTCTGGGACAGCGCTCGAATTGCGCAAAAACAGTTTGTCGCAAACGTAGAGGATGCTATTAATTCATTCACCAGTTGACATACCATCTTCTATAAAACGTTATCAAGATGTATTACAGTACGTTCAATCCAAAGTTTATGGGGCAGGACTATACATGTCTCCAAGTAATATGGAACTTAAGATCGGTCAAGTGATCGGCTATTATAATAGCTTTTAACAGTATTCCAGTTATATCACGGCGTGTCAGCTTAATGTGGGAGGAAACCCCAAAGTGATGCAGGTCTCAGACGTTTACCACTTCGGTGAAACCCACAGGGACGGGCTGACAAACCTGGATAAAAATCGAGTCGACCGGGATTCGAACCCACAATCATAGCTTTCAGACGTGCCCAAGGCAATCAACTCTTCACAGAGAATTGCGGCGCCTTACGAGACATGTCCACCCTTAACCCCTTGAGATCTAGACATATTCATTCACTGAAGTAACTTCAGAAACCGAGTAGTTGCATTGTGCCATTTATAAACGTTGTGCCAAATGATTACACCATGCATGTTTATATATGCACTCACACATCAGGAAACCTCTTGCAGTTTTCAATTTCTCGAATCGATGAATGGTGCTTATTGAATGTAGTTTCTGCTAAATGACCTCATTGGAATGTTTCCAGGATCGTGATATTAAGGTTATCGGATTGGTTTATCGCATCGATAACACTCGCTGTTATATGATAATTGTACTTACCTGAGACCAAGGCTGCTGAGGATAGTTTCTTTCAACGTAATGATCAAGAGCCCTGCTTGCTGCTCAATGACCAAGTGCACGGTAGCTGTTTCAGTCTATCTATATAGTCATACCTCCCCTCAAAAACATCGTAAATATATATCAGTGATTACACAAGCTGTCGAAATCCTCTCACATGATCCTCCAGTATGATCTTCCCACGTGATGCATTCAGGAAGATCGTAAAGTATGCCAGCCGCTCCAGCAATCAACGAATACCCGGATGAAGAAGTGTTATTTGACATGCAGAAATGACCCACAGCCAATCATTATAAAACAAATAAAAAAGGTGGCATTAATCCTAATTTATAGATTACATGGTCTCATCCGTGTTCACAACTTCATGGTGTTTAAATACTAATATCAAACTAGAATTTTCCGCATCAGTCGGCGACAGGTTGCACTCACTAGATGTACAAACCAGCACACCACGCAGATCCGGTTCCGTGCACAACTTGAAATGAATTATTAATAAGGGGACTATTTTTTTATTCGGAGATATATTCTATAAGCTAAATACAACAAAATCAGGTCTAAAAAGTTTCAAATAATGAAAGGTGGTCATCCATGTTTAGATATCATTGCTAAAACTGGTGAATTTCAAGCATCTATAAGTCTGCAATATGTGTTTGACAAGTAACAATTGTTACGACGTAAATTATAATAACTCGGTGAATTATAATACTGCTATGAATTGTAATACAGTAAACTACGGTTATAACGAAGACGCTTATAACGAACTAACGGATATAACGAACTAACTTTTTAGTCCCGACTGTATGCTGTAGTTATGCTGTATCTATGCTTATAACGAATTACGGTTATAACGAACTAAAATTAGTAGTCCCTTTGAGTTCGTTATAACCGTAGTTTACTGTACAAAATATAGAGGATATTATATTCGTGTTCATGTCATTCCGGAATTTAGGCACGAGTGTCGTAAACATAGTCTGACATGAACACGAATATAATGTTCTATTTATTACCAAAGAAGATGTCTACATACAGAGACGAAGTTTAGTGTTTACCTATAAGGACAGCAGCGGAACCACAATTTGTCGAATGACGTCTTCAACTATGACGTCGTTTCTAGTGTGACGTCATTCCGACCTCACGTTACAATAAGAATCGAATGACGTCAACAATGCCGTCCGGACAACGGAAACAATACACTGTTGTCTCGTGACGTGATATGACCCTCGGTCACATATGATTTTTATGAACCACGAGCCCTCGTAGATAATAATATTCAATATTATACAATATTTGTAAGAATACAAGAAAATATACAAATACTTGACCATGTGAGACTAAGTTGTAAGAAATCAAAATCCGGACATTGAAAGCATATTCAACCACTGAATAGATACACCTCACTACATGAAAATTTTAATGATTTTTATATCACGTTATCAACCGCAAGAGTGTAGAAACCAAGTGTGTATTCGACTTAACCATGGCCTATTTCGACTGCTATCATTCCTCTGTTGTACTCATTCATACTGAGAAGCAGATGCAGTGAAGTGTATTAACCTTAGCCGCAATCTTTAATAAACTGCGATGAAATGTGGTAACTGACGTAAATTGTAATAAAATCAAAACAAGGTAATCTGGTCAAGAAAGACATAAGGTGTAAGATCAGTTTATTAGTCCATTTGTCCCGAGGTAGACACTGGCGAATAAAAAAGGCATATGGAAATTCCAATCGTGTGTGCTTGTTCTCGTTCGTGTAGATCTAATTCATTGTTTCAACTAGACTAGACAATCCAGTGATTGACTTCATAGGCATCGATCCACGCAATTTGGATACGATGACATATATCAACCAAGTCAGCGAGCCGATCCTTCACGCGTCTTCTCGCAAACTTGACCACATCCGCCACCTTCGTCCGACGGCGCGCCACCTCCCCAGACTGTGCGGAGACGCGAGATGACATGCACATTGAACCCACAGCTGATTTCACCGATACTGCCGACTCATCAATCGATTTACATGTATGTTTAAATGATGTATCTCTCATTGATTTGGTTGATGGACATATTATTCAGAACTGGGCAAGCATAATTACGTGGGTAAATGATGTGAGTGATGAATAAATGTTCTTTTGCAGTTATATCCCGACGGCTTGTAAATAACCGAGTCTGAGGCAGTAGCTTACGGTACCAGCAACGAAATCACGCACGCATACACTCACACACGCACACACACACACACACGCACGCACGCAAAAGCCAATGTTCTTTTCTATTTTTTTTTTCTTAAACTTACTTTTCTAGCTTGGAGCCCAATGGGGAATCTAGGTTACGGCAGTAAACTATATTTGACCCCCCAAAAAGGCAAGGCGACTTAAGGGTTTGGCTGGTCAGGCCCAGTGACTTGGTTGACTGTATGTCGTTTTACTCCCAGGCAGGGACCCGTGAAGATTCCGGGCTAGAATAGGTCTTCAGCAACCCATGCTTGCCGTAAAAGGTGACTATGCTAGTCGTAAAAGGTGACTAACGGGATCGGCTGGTCAGGCTCGCTGACTTGGTTGATGCATGTCATCGATCCAAATTGCATGGATATTAATGACTGGATTTTCTGGTCCAGACTCGATTATTTACAGACCGCCGTCATATAGCTGGAATATTGCTGAGTGCGGCGTTAAACAACAAACCAAACCAAACCAAAACCCAGGCAGGCGTGAGACATTATACCAGACAAGGAAGTGAACATGAGCAGAATCGATAATTTACATGCCTACGTGGTATAGCTGGGGTATTGTCAATTTTGGCGTTGAACATATTTGTTTGCACATATGTTTGAGATGCAGTCGAGCAGTCGAGCTCTAACATTATCCAGTTTCATAACGATTTACGACGGCTCATCCAGGCTGAGGTGATTACGCAGCTGTCTCCTGGCCATGCTACTAAACCTGGGTGTGTGGTGTTAAAACCATGAAAGGTAACTGGAAACAAGTTATTTCATACTTCGTATGTCAGGATATTAGTTAAGTGTTAATATGATTAAACAAACTGGCTGCATGCATCGTGCTTACTCAACATATGGGGCGGTAGGGTAGCCAAGTGGTTGAAGGGTTCGCTCGTTATTCCGAAGGTTAAGTTCGATTCCAAACATGAGTAGAATGTGTGAAATGAGTGAGTAAATTGGGTTTTAACGCCGCTTTTAACAGTATTCCAGTTATACCAAGGCGTGTCAGCTTAATGTAGGAGAAAAGCCCGAAGTGATACAGGTCTCAGACGTTTACTACTGCGGTGAAACCCACGGGAAAAACCGGGATTCGAACCCATAATTATAAGTTTCTGGCGTGCCAAAGGGACGCAACTCTGCACAGCGAAACGCGACGCCTCAGACGACTTGGCCACCCTTGCCCCCGAATATGTGAAGCAGATTTCTTTTAACAGTATTTCAGTATTATCACGGTGTGTCAGCTTGATGTAAGACACACATTTGCAGTGGTTCTTAGACTCTCACCACTTTGATTCACGAGCATGGATATGGTGCTCGAAAACCTAGAAACATAAACAGGGCGAACCTGGATTCGAACCCATGATCATAGGTTTCCGGCATGTCTAAGTGACTGAACTCTGCACTGAAAATGACGATGCCGTAGGCGACTGGGCCATCCGTGCCCCTCGAGGACAATAACACAGGAAAGGGTAAGTTCCCCTGGCCTCCCTTGCTTCCACACCCACTTATTGTCATATGCACGGACATGGTCAGAAATACATGTATACCAATGAATACAGGAATCCCAAAGTAGATGGAACAAGGTCAGAAGAGACAACATGTGTTAAAAGGGGTTTCATTATGTGTGAGTGAGTTGTGTTTAACGCCGCTATTAACAGTATTCCAGTTATATCTGTCAGTGTCAACTTAATGTTGGAGGAAAGCCCAAAGTGATGCAGGTCACACAATCACACTCACTCACAATCACCCTCACACTAACACACACACATCCACACATTCGCTCACACTCACACACAAACATTTTGGGGGGTCCATTGCAGCCTTTTGAAGTTTCAGTCAAACCATTGTTGAGTCTTTTAAGTTACATAAGGAATTTCATTAAAAGAATGTTAATGACTTTCGTTCACAATTATGTCGCAGTTTTGTTAATAAATCCGACGACTGCAACAGCAGCTCACGTCTGTAACATCTGACGACCACAATGATGTATTGATTGGTTTCTGAGTATGGTGAGGTAGGTGAGTGAGTGAGTGAGTTGGGTTTAACGATGCTTTTAACATTATTCCAGTTATATCACGGCGTGTCAGCTTAATGTGGGGGGAAAGCCCGAAGTGATGCAGGTCTCAGACGTTTATCACTTCGGTGAAATACGGGTATGGTGCTGACAAACCTAGAAACATAATCGGGGCGAACCGGGTTTTCGAACCCACAATCATAGGTTTCTGGCGTGTCCGCGGCGCCTTAGACGACTGGGCCACCCGTGCCCCCTTCATTATGAAGTTGAGGGGCATTACACAATGGATATTTAATGCCACAACTTAAACAATGACGTGAAAGCGACAGAAGCATTCATGCGAAAATCCAAAATATACTCATTAGAAGAAACAAGCGTTTTATCGAGCAATATGCACTTGGATAGTTCTATTTCGAAAGAATTTTGTTATTTTTGTCACCTCTCCGTTTTCTTTGGACATTTGTTGTTAGTCTTAAATACGCAAATCATACTAAACTGTGCCCCTTGTGGAATAGTATAGGAACGGGAATTTTCTGAAGAGTGTATATCAGTTAAATTTACAACTTCAATGTCGATAGACAGTCGGAAGGTCGGTGGTTCGATTCCCTGGCCGCGTCATACATAAGACGTTATAATAACTGGTGCTTGTTGTTAAGCTGGCTGCTTCTCGTCATCAATGGGATAAAACATGGACAAATGGGCTCGGAGTCAGCATACTGTGTCTGCGTAGCGTATCCATGTTTAGCTGCGGCATGGTATTCCGGTGGTAAGCACTACACACGTGCATGCATGCAGCTATATAAGTAAAAATTCTTGATTCATTAACGGTGGGTTTCACGTCTCTATGGTCTGGTGGTAGGGCGTCCGCCAAGAGAGCGGAAGCTCCGGTGTTCGAACCCCAGCCGCGTCATACCAAAATACCTTAAAAATGGTACCTTGCCTGGAGCTAGGCATTAAGTGGCTAAAACAAGTACTGATATGCTCGGAGTCCGGGTCTATGTTTGAGTCGGGTATCCATGTTACACTGCGGCTTGGTGTCTCATTGTGCTAGCACTACACAATCGGCATTAGTCCGGACTAGTACAAGCAGCCACACACACACACACACACGCACGCACACGTTCCGCGACGTTAAACCCCATTTCACCTCACCTCACCTCACCTCATGGGTTTCACCAAAGTGGTAAACGTCTACGACGTCACGTTCCCATATTATTCACCAGACACGAGATAAAACTGAAATGCTCTTAAACAGGCGTAAAACCATGCATAACAGGTATTTAAATAATCCCTAAACAATCACCGCTGTGTTCCCCATAGCACTTTGACAACAACATTGCGCAGAACAGCGGATGTCATAAACCGGAAATCACCTCTAGGTTTGGTCACATGACCTGTCACCTTTGTTCCACACTACGCCATTGCAACAGAAAACGTCACCCACCTTCCGCCCCTTCATCACCTGGGACTAGATTGGTACTATTAGCCTCTTTAAGACTGCTTTTGCCTTTCACTTATGTGTATTAAAGCCCACTTGTCATATTGTATTACAGATGTCCCAGGTCCACAACCTGTTTCCTTATGGATTTTCCAGGGGTTTACAAAGTGACCCTTTTATCAAATTTAGGTCAATTTCATAAAGAAACACGTAAGTTTGGAATGTACGAAAAGAAAGGAGTGGTGCTTAACTTTTTTCCAGGTGGATGATAATTGATACTGGTATTAGATCAGGACCACTTGAGTACACGATACAGGTGTTGTCTGCATGCTATATTTCATAGTTATATTTTTGGGAATGTATATGATTTAATTAATTATGATTCACTGACATGCTCATCGTTTTTGTTTATGCTGGTAATTGTTATATTGATAATGTACCAATTGGTTCACTGCTGTATGGAATTATAAGACACACATATACATTCGCACGAATTTATTGACTTTGTCGGTATATGTAATTAAGAATTGACTTTCACTTTGTGTGAGTTCATAGAGTGAGGGCCAAACATTGTATGAACGTCGTCGCAAGCTCCGACGTTCATACAGTTTGGCCCTCGCTCTATAAAGGTTTATACTCCAATGAACTCACACAAAGTGAAAGTCATTTCTTGTAATTTTTTATCACAATTTCTTACCTCAAAGGATGTAGGCCAAGATCAAAACACAATTTTTTTTAATACGCGTGACTTCCTGTTTACACTGACAGCCATACAGCAACCAGCTATATCGCGGAATAAAATAGTTCCTCAAAAAGAGAGGTGACATAAGCGTTTGTATGCACAACTTGCTCTTCAGAAACATCTTACGCAACACAAGTATTCAAATAATATCACCATTAGATAAGAAAGGTCTGTTTAGAACTACCTCAGTAAGTCAGTCACAATGACAGCGCGTCATAATACATTTGCATCAAGTACAAAACGTCAAAATGGCCGACACGATAAACGTGACGGGATTGATTTCGAAAGTTGCTAATGAACCTATGGCGGCTACATGTTTTAGTAATCATTGATCTATTGGCCGATCATTGAAAGGTGATTAAAGATGTGTCAAATGGACACTAAGGTAAACTCGTAGATTTGCTGTAGACTGACACTGTCAGCCTAGACACGGATCGAGTCGATACTACCATAGTTTGGATGTGCAATTCTTCGTTTTGTTCACTAGGATGGGTCGTAGCGAGGACATTCGTGAACGATCGTGCAGTCTGACGTTTCTCAATGTATGCTAAAATGCTGAGTTCAAGATTGAAGGGTCTAAATGGTCAGAAAGAACGCTTCTGTATGAATTCGTGCTAGGGAATTCCCAGGGGTATGAATTCGGAAGTAGTGTGTCAGTGTTTAGGTCATTTAAAGAACACGGTCTCGTGAAAAACGTATGAACGTCAAATTGTGTCGTTCATACACTTATGAACGACAATTTCGCGGTCAGGTGACCGACCTCCTGTCCAATTGAAAAGCCGTATATCGTGTAAACTTCAAATTTAAAAAAAAAATTTTAGTGATTTAAGGTATTAAGTATAATCGGGCCTGCGCAAGACAAAATTGTGGTTGATATCATGAGCAACGTCCCACGCTGTTAAGCTCCGATGACACGCAATTAACCTAGTCACCAAGCCGAACCCTCACATGCATTTGAGTGCCTCTTAACTGAGACATATATGATTAATGGGGACACAACCGGAGGATCCTTATAGGGTTGTAATTCTAGGAAACCCCTCCTCATACATTCGCGTGAACTCACCGAATAGGTGGCTGAATGTAATTCTAAGTAACGCGTATGCATATACATGATTTCAACCAAAATGGCGTCGAATTTAATTCCAAGAAACGTCTCTATACACTTGCGTGGTTTCTTGAATAATCCTGAGCAACACCTCCATACATTTCCATGAATTCATTGACACTTGGGGGCACGGGTGGCCCAGTCGGCTAAGGCGCCGTGATTCGCTGTGCAGAGTTGCGTCCCTTGGGCACGCCAGAAACCTATGATTGTTGGTTCAAATCCAAGTTCGCCCCGATTATGTTCCTAGGTTTGTCAGCGCCATACCCGTGCTCGTGGATTTCACCGAAGTGGTAAAAGTCTGAGACCCGCATTATTCGGGCTTTCCTCCCACATTAAGCTGACACGCCGTGATGTAACTGGAATACTGTTAAAAGCGCTGTTAAAACCAACTCACTCATTGACACTCTCGCTGACTGTCGTAAGTCTCATAAGTAGAAGTACTGGGTCAGCCTGTCAACTGCTTACACATACAGGGTTGAGTTCCCCGTGAAGAAACATATCAGCAAGAAGGGGCGCAATTGGTGTTCATGGGGATGCCTCCTTCCTTTATTAAATTCGTGTCCCCAAATTTTACTTCGATATTATCTATGGTAAAGTGGACACGGGTGGCCAAGTTGCCAAACGAACCGTCATTTACTCTGTATATCTACGCCCCTAAGACGTGTCACGTGTCAAAAACCATTGATCGTGGGTTCGAATCCTAGATTCGTTTTGATTATGTCTATAGGTTTGTCAGCATCATACCCGTGCTCGTAGGTGTCACCAAAGTGGTAAACGTTCAAGAACTGTAGCCTTTCCTCCCACATCAAGCTGACACTCAGCTCATGTATGTCCATTTCATATCATACAAGACCCGTGAAGATCCGGGGTAGAAAAGGTCTTCAGCAACCCATGCTTGTCGTAAAAGGCGACTATGCGCATCGTAAGAAGCGACTAACGGGATCGGGTGGTCAGGTTCGCTGACTTGGTTGATGCATGTCATCGTATCCCAATTGCATGGATCGATGCTCATGATGTAAATCACTGGATTGTTTGAACCAGACTCGATTATTTACAGACCGCCGTCACATAGCTGGAATATTGCTGAGTGCGGCGTTAAACAACAAACAAACAAACAAATCATATGATACAAAAGGTCAAATCCCGCTCCATATGTCCATATAGACAAATCTAGAAACATCATTATTAACGATTAGGCAACGTGACATTTGATATTTGGCACTCAATAGTTGAACTCATTGTCGAATTTTGACAATGTTAACCTAGTGGTATTGCAACCTTTAGTGTGATTGTATTATGGCCTGGTATTGACACTGTCAGTGTACTTTTTCTGTAGGATAATATAATGTTTCGACTGTTTACAGGCCGCCGTCGTGTGACAGAAGTACTGTTATCCCTTTCGCGAACACGTGGTATCATCACTGATTTTCAGTGACCTATTCATCGATTTTCACCACTATTTAGCCCAAATAAATCTGTTTCGGCAGATTCTCGAACTTTTTTTCTCTGTCATTGACGTTTATAAGTTGACGTTTATAAGTTACCTAACACAGCGATGGTCCTGCGGGAAAGAATGAGACTTGTATTTGGTCCTGTGAGATGATGTGGAGTTGCCACTGACAGTGTGATGGTCCTGTGGGATGATGCGGTGTTGCCACTGCCAGTGTAATGGTTCTGTGTGATGGCATTGCTACCTAACACAGTGATGGTCCTGTGAATTGGTATGGTATTATAGCCAATTAAGGAGTGGTGCTAGTTACAGTAATGCTCTCGCAATCCTTTTGATGGTATGGTACACGTACATTTCCATATCCCCTATTCAATTAGCATCTCGCTACAGATAACAGACAATCCAGAAGTTGAAAGTTGAAACAAGCGTTTTATCTAGTCACAGAAACATATGAAATATACATGTACATTAAATATAAAGTAACTATAATGATATACCACAAATGTGAAGAATATTTTGAATTAATACTAACCACAGACATACATCTAAGCCCCGTTCCAAATCATTAAACACCATATCAAAATGTCGACACTGAAGCCTTCGACGTTCAAGGCAGCCAATCTAAATAACATAGGTCGGTGACCACTTTTATAGTTGTTCCATTGCAAAAGCAAATACATATTCGGCTAATGTTCCGAAAGACCCAAAATAATTACAAATGGTTATATATGTTATGAGAAGTAAACGTAAACAAACAAATCAATCAACACCAATAAAATGAAAAACAACTCTTACATTAATTAAGCAAACAAACACAAACTAATACATTCAAAGAAAATATAACATAATAAGGAATCCAATTTAAAATTGAAAAGGTTAACAATTTGTTTGTAGCTGCCTTTTCAGCTACCATTCATTTGATTTAAGCATGTGTATGTTCCATTCAAGTTTTCAAGTTAAATATATTGAATGTCAATGGATATGAAGGACCTTTTCGCAAAACATAAAATAATCAATTTCCACGGAATGCGTTTCTGTACATGTTAATAATTACATTATGTCGCGACGGTTCGCGTCAGTTGCCAAACGTTTGGTCTCGAAACGATCGATCTGCCAACACATCTGACCAATAGGAACATCGCCATGACATTTCAGAGGTCCTGTGAAGACAAGAATCATATTAACAACAGTATTAATTGACTGAATCACACCATGTACCTTGGGTAAACAGTGGAGTAGAGTATATGTAAGTTGCATGTTAGGAGCTGTAGATCAATGATGATCAAGTTGATGTATGGATTTCAACTTATTTTATTGCTTTACCGTGATGTGTCGGTACAGATACTATAGACAGTTCATCATAAAGCAAACATTAAAGTTGAATAATATTATATAAAGTTTCGGATATGGTCAGAATAGTTCAATTGAGATTTCTTATGATAATGGAAAGGGTTAAGTCGCTTTTAATAAATTGTGAAAATTTGTAAGGCATTGTCACCGCTTAATCACAACATACATTTTGGAATCTGAAAGCATATGCATATGACTGAAACGCTAACTATTCTTATTACCCCAATCCTGTTGGTTGGTGGAGATGACCGAGACGCTGGTTGGAGGTGACGTCAACGACATCACTTGCGCGCGTGTAACACCGTCAGCATTGACTCTGTACAGTCTAAAAATAGAAAAGGCAGTGCTGGTGGTAAGCATCAAAACGCACCAGCTAAGCCTATTGATTCCCATATTGTAACACTGAAATCGGAAGACGTAACAACATCGTTAAAATCAAGTAACTCAAGATGTAATAAGATATTAATTTATGACAATGTCTGGAAGCAATTCTTAAATAAGTCCTACCCAGTTCCATTGGCATAGAAGTAGTAGTCGTTCACGATACCGAAGAGTGGACTTGCATTGTTTACTAGATTTGTGACGTCATTGCCGTCGGTGTCGCAGCTCTTGAGTTGTCCGTTGCTGTACCACATCAGTCTGTCAACTGTTAATGGGATGGTAAGAATTCAATGACATTAACATCACACCATTACCTCAAATGTATTCATATACACTGCAAATGGGATGGATAACATCATTTGTACGATGCACTGAAGACAACCAACTTCCCAAGTACAGGTGTCAATCATAACACAGTGAGTGAGTGAGTGAGTGAGTATGGTTTTACGCGACCTTTTTGAGAATATTCCAGCAATATCACGGCGGGGAACACCAGAAATGGGCTTCACGTGCAATAACCCAAAATATACTCATTAGAGTGAGTGAGTGAATATGGTTTTACCCTGTTTGTAGCAATATTCCAGCAATATCACGGCGGGGGACACCAGAAATGGGCTTCACACATTGTACCCATGTCGGGAATCGAACCCGGGTCTTCGGCGTGACGAGCAAACGCTTTAACCACTAGGCTACGCGACCGCCCCACATAACACAGACACTAGTGTATCATGATGCAGTGGATGTTGATATAGTACACATTTACTCTTATTATTTCAGCATTTTATAAGTTTACCGTCTGGTTGGAGCCTAAGACCAAGAACGTCTTGTCCAGTGTTCTTCAGTAAAGTTCTCGAGTCGTTGCCATAACCGTATTGCTGGATCGTCTGCCCCTCTGACCAGTACATCACGCTGTAAAACAAATTATTGTAAACTTGAACCTCTTCGGGATATTTGGCGATATTTATGTCTTTGCAGTAATCAATATGCAAACCATTTCACGGCGAAATCGAACATTCGCTCCCTCATTCACTCAGTCAGTTTTGGGTTCCCGGGCATGTTTGACCACAGAGATGAGCTCCTGATGTATGGCTTATGTTTTGTTTTGATGTTCTAATAAAGACATAGTTCTTTTTCAACTTTTATGTTAATATATATTTTATTGTTTTGGCCTCATAACCAATTTGCCATGTGCAACACTGTCATAAGTATGGTTTATAAAAATGTAAATTACTTTTTCTTTTTCAAATGTCAATCTTAATCGAAGTCCTGTTTCATCATCAAAGATTTTATTGTAATAGTTAAAATACATCAGTATAAAAGGACACGAAAACATACAATTTTTCCTGATGTAGGACAAGATCACGGGGATTATTGAGTCCATCGAGTATCACCATGTCGTTTTTGATGTAACGGTCAGAGGTCACGGCCCTGAGGGAACCAGTGCGCAGGGTATAAAATACAAGCCCTGACCTCTCGTCCACAGCCAATCCTGTAACTTCCTCACCTTGAACACAATAAATTAAAGCCTCTGTGATGTTCGTGTAAGAACGGAAGCCAACCAATTCATTAAAAAAGCGATACTAATCTGTAAAAGTACAATAATGCAAGGTGATGCTAAACGTGTGAACCCCACCGGTACAACCGGTACCAACCCTCGTGCCTGGACGTCGAGGTCACTTCATAATTGACTCCTGGAACAATTCTACAACTTTACGAAATCTGGAAATGGCTCCAAGAGTTGCTTGTCAGTGTTTCTACGCTAATCCGCACGTGATTCATCAGACCATTTGGAAAACAATATGAAGAATATATACGATGTCATAACTCAGCAAATATCAATGTTGCCAAGACAAAACGATCTCTAATATTATGTTAAAAACGTTCTAATTATCAGGAGGGTCATTCCGTATTATTTAATGCATGTCCCAAGCATCCCATGATTCCCCAGCGAGCCGACTAACGGGGATCGGGTGGTCAATGTCATTTTGTACAGATATTTCAGTCTCCGAGTTGCTAGCTCTTGACGATTTATTTACAGGCTACCTTGAATCAGCTGGAATATGGCAGCGGCGTTAAACATCCACTCACCCTCTTTAAGTATCAAACAACAAGATTCAAAGACCCACCGAAATCTCAACGAGCCTGGAAACACTTTAATGTCATTCTGAGAAAGCTCCTTGAATTCTTGATTACATGAGGTCATATTATTTCAAAATATAAATAGCAAAGGTGCAGGCGTTCATTGCTATGTTAACTTTATGACACATACAAACCTCTAACTAGTCATGGTTGCTTGCCGCCTACATACACTGATAAGAGTAAAACAGATGGAGATTCCACAAACCTTTCAGCTTGATGATCGTAAGCTTCCAATTTCCATCCCATCGGATTCTTCTAATGGAGGCTGGAGATTGCGTGCTGTAGTAGATGAAGTTGTCAGTGGCGCTGTATACGTGATGCGTTACACTACCGGTGATGTCGGGGAGTTTAATAATACTCTCATTTCGGAATGTCAGGTGGGTCTTGGTCAGTGTATTTTGACCGTTGGCCACCAGCAGGTACTGGTCGGGAGATTCAGGGGCTGATAAATGTAAAGCAGAAAGCTGTGTCCAAAGTGGAGGTATATAGAGGGCGTATGAACCGGTATCTACATTTCAACTGATTCGCATTCTTTACTGTCATCATATGGAATACGCTTGTCTTCAATCTGGGGATGTAGCCCCCGTGAAGATCATGGTTAGAATTAGTTATGATGACAATCACTGGATCTTTTAGACTCGATTATTGACAGACTGCCCTCTTATAGATGGAGTCCGACATTAAACAACAAATAAAACAACAAAACATTCAGTGAATCAGTGCATGAACCAACATTCCTCACTGCACTTACCGAGACACATGGTGTGGTATGGAATCCCTGTGTCGGGTGTTGTAGCAAACCCCGGGCAGGGCGTACAGTCCAACTGTCCGGAGTGTTCTTGGTAGAAGCCAAGGGGACATGCCTCGCACATGCCATCAGAGTAGAAAGTACCAAGGGGACACTTCACTGATAAAATCAACATAAAAGTGTGAAAAAGTAACATTTTACCTACGCTTCTTTTTCTGACAGTGACATAACTAACGTCGATCTGCAATATTAACAGTAAAGGGCTAAATACAACAACTGTCGTACATGCCTACCTAGTAACAAACCATTAAAAGACATTATTTGTACTCATTTGTTTCCTCATTAAATGACATTTGATCATGACTGTTGGCTTGTCAGCACCATGCCCATGCTCGTGGGTTTCGCCAAAGTGGTAACAGACCGACCCAGTCTCGGCCGAAAAGCCCCGTTCCCTTGCTTCCGTCTGCGTTTTTTTACTGTAGGGGGCACAACCACTGGTTAATCGCTATGTCGTCACGACCGGAACTTGACAGCGCAAGCGACGAATTTGGCTTTGGATATTTTCGTACCAGTCGTTTGTCAAAAATATCTGAGGAGAAGGGGTTGAACATATTTCATTCCTTTTTTTTCTTTTGTTATTTTTATTAATATAATTCCTTTTTATTATTTTTGTTAATTTCTTCTTTTTTTCTTCCTTTATTTTTTTTTGGGGGGGGGGGGTATATTGTAGTTGTCAAATATGGTGAATGAAAATGAATTATGCCTCGTGTAAATCGTGTTAATTGATCATAACATAAGCTATAAAATTCTATTTGAGCATCTGGAACACGGGATTGGGTATATCATCAGGGGTGTATCTAGACCTGCTCAGAGGAAGCAAATGTCAGAAGCATCTCCCTCTTCACAAGTTTTAACATGTGTATGCAATGCTAAAGTAACTCATATAAGTTTAAAAAATCGCTATCTTACACGAATCAATTTTTAAACCCCTGGCCACACTTCCAGAGTATTGGACTAAATGAACTGCCCGTATTTAGGTATGGGACAAAAGTGAGAATCCAAGAGAGAATCCAAGGTAAAGTCAACACTCTTAATTGCCATGGTTATTTCTAAACAATAGGACGTATTTCCAGAAAAGGGAAACCTGAAATTGCAAAATTATGTGAACAGATCGAGCGTCTGCAGTACGTCCAATCAATTACCTTTAATTGAAATACCATTCAAAAGAATTGTCATGAGTCCAAGCAGTTTTACAGTTACCTACGAAACATGTAAATGAGGTACATGAATATGTCATAAGTTTCAAGCTTTTATCAATAAAATTACATGTTGACATAATGACTGTTACGAATTAAGAGAGAGAGAGGCACCTAATCTCCAGCACACACAGCGGCACACAAAGTACGTGATCTAGACTACCAGTTGTCGGACTTTCATTTTTGTTGAAGCCTCGGTGGCTGAGTGGGTTAGATCGCTCACTTTGTGTGCTGGCGTTTAGGTGCCTCACTCTGGCAGTGTGGGTTCGAATCCCGTACGGGACTCAACCTATTAAAGTACGAGAATTTGTACTTTACTAAGAAAGTGTTATCCATAATATAACAATGGTTACATTCGACAACTTTCTAAATGGCATTGTATGTTCATAGCTTTCGGCCATGGGAGCCGTGCCAATTAACACTTGTCATAGGGGTACACAAAGTACGTGATCTAGACTACCAGTTGTCGGACTTTCATTTTTGTTAAAGCCTCCATGCTGAGTGGGTTAGATCTCTCACTTTGTGTGCTGGCGATTAGGTGCCTTAATCTGGCAGTGTGGGTTCGAATCCCGGATGGGACTCAACCTCAACAAGTACAAGAATCTGTTACTCACTTAGAAAGTTTTATCCCAAATATAACATTTGTTACACTTACATGATAGTTTACCACCAGTGTTATTTCCTTCCTCTAATATATAAGTCAATAGACAGGTTTATGGTTTGGGAACCTCCTAGTGTTTAACTCTTGTGTTTTACAGTCTATGAACACTTACAGCAGAATATTCCCCCAGGAACACGGCCGGCAGCACACGTGACATTTTGTTCGACCATCAGAAAGGGTTCCTTGTCTCCGGCTGTGAAATTCGTGTAACCCCCGGACCTTACTTCCCAGTTGGCTTTATCCAGGGTATCCCAAGCGGCAGCGATTGACTCCAGTCCCCCAGTAACTGTGCAAACCAAAACATTATACTCTTGATTTTTCTTCCGGTCTAGTCCTCTAATATAAGAGGAATGCGTCGTTAAAAGGAATCTCAGTCCGTGTCAATAGATCGAATACAACTTTGCATGTCTGTGCATGTGTTTGTGTGTTGTTTAAGGTCACATTCAGCATATTCCAAGGATATGACGATGGTCTGTAAATAATCAAATAAGTCAATCCAGTGATTGATATTATGAGCATCCATCTGCGCAATTGGGATACGATGACATGCTTCTACCAAGTCAGCGAGACTCACCACTAGATCTCTTATGACAAGCATGTGTTACTGAAAACAATTTCTAACCCTGATCTTGATTGGGCAATTTTGTCTATCTCCTAATTGCATTACGTATCACCAAATTACGTAATTAATGATAACCAATAGAGAACATAGAGACAAATCAAGTTTCACGCAAGACCTAGACAAGAAATTGGCAGGGGGACCTTGAATATAGCCTTTTTCATAGGGTATGCGGTATATGTACGAGCTGAAAGATGTTTTAGCTTCTACAATATCAAACAATATCATACAACTCATACAGCCATGTTTCAATTCACAAAACATGTACAACATGCCATTTAAGTGATTTACCATTCGTTAAACCGTGTGAGTTGTTTTCAATAAGATACTTTGAAGTGCCAATTACATATAACTTATGATCCGCCAAACTCACTAAGTGAATTATCAGTCATATAACCCTTTATGTCAATGTTTTACCAGGCAAAGGCAGGGCGATTGGGTAGCTTAATGACCAAAACTCTCTCTCCTCCAGCCGAAAGATTTGAGTCGATTTCCTTTAAGAGTAAATTGTGTGAAACCAATTTCTGGTGTCCTCCCTCGTGATATTGCTAGAGTTCAGCTAATAGTGGCGTAAACCCATACATTTACTCCTACACACAGCTGGCTTGAATCTTTGAACTAAGCGTAACTAAAAATAATTATGTTAAAGCTTAATTCTGTAAATATGTTTCTCCCTATAAATCTGTTCTTATGACATAAGATTGGTGTGGAACTATACCCGAGCGACTGAGCACTCATAAACGAGTAAGTACTACCAACAATAACATAAACGCCTATCACACAGTCATGTTGACCAATGAGTATGGACGCCAGTGGAGAAGGTGCCTCAAATATATTACAGAAAAACTTTTCCATTTTGAAAATGTTTTGATCGTACTGATGCCTACTACATTCATTTCAATGGAATAATACTTATTTTCACGAACCTTCTATCCCGCTCTTCTTGTGTCCGTAAGGTTGCACCATCATATGACCATGACGAATTGATATTTCAATGTCTCGGTGGGCTGGAGGGTGACTTTCATTACTTTCGTGCGTAAATCCACCGTTGGAAGACAGCAGAGTTTCACTGACGGATGCAACTGAAAACGTTTGCCAGAAGATAAAACCTGGTATTTTTGTTAGAAACAAAATATTTATAGAAAAAATATTTTAAAACTTCCATATCACATTGTGTTTGTTTTGTTTGTTTGTTGTTAAACGCCACACTCAGCAATATCCCAGCTATTTGACGGCGGTTTGTAAAAAATCTAATCTGGACCAGACAATCCAGTGATTGATATAATGAGCCTCGATCCACACAATTGGGATACGATGACATGCATCAACCAAGTCAGCGAACCTGACCACCCGATCCCGTTAGTGGCCTCTTACGACAAGCAAAGTCGCCTTTCACAGCAAGTGACACTAATTAATATCATAATCCTGATTAGTCTGCACCAGGAACATTAACATATGCCCCATGTCAATGTAGACCTAACAACGAAAGGACAAAATACTCACATTCTGGATTAGTCTGCATCGGAGAGACATCAACGGCACCGGGAACAATGTCAATGTCGAGAGCCAGAATACCCAGCTGCACACCAGAATTATCTGTACACATTGTAATGTCATCATCACAGTCCATGACGGTAACAGACCATTTACAAACCCCATCTTTCACACATGCAAAACTCTGTGCGATTCCAGAGAGTGATTCTTCCAGGGAGGCTACCCTTTGTCGGTGAACTACATTATATTTCAACTGGACTGTGGCAGGAGATGCAGGTTCTACAAAAGATAAAACAATTTAGTGATATCTCCTCCAAGTGCAAATTGTTTTCATTCTCCAGGGTACCCAGATTGGAAATTGAGCAAATACTTTGTCAGATATGTTCCCCACCCTCTTCGCGGCATAAGAACAATTCCCCAGATGAGATTTCATCCTCTGCTTTGAATGTAACAGAAAGGATAACTAGAGACACAGCTGAAAAAGGGGTTAGTAATATTAGTATATTACTATTATCAGGAATCAACCCCATGTGGCAATAGAATGATTTAAACATAATCCACAAGGTCAACCTGCTGCTGCTGCTGCTGCTGAACCAGATGAAGACAAAGCACAAACCTGCACATGACTGTATGACCCGTCCTGGCGTCCACTCTCTTCCTTTGCAAGTATATTTCATGTCAGGGTGGAACGGTACCAGACCAAGACGGCATTTACTGTGACATCTCAATACGCCATCCCTGTCTTTTGTACACTTCACATCGGTGATATCCCGGCTATATAGAAGAAACTCTTCGTGGCAGACTGGTAATGAAAATGTTTTAGGTTCAAGTACCAAGTCGGTTGATTCATTAGATCGCAACAACACGACATTTCACTGCCAATATCCAGTGAATGAAAGATGAAGAACAAGATGATGACAACAAAAAGATATATAAAAACAGACCTTGAGTGATAATCGGTTCACAAAACTGTTGCAGTGACCTGAAGGTGGGCGTGTCAAGAAAATGTGTTCGAAATATTTCTCCAAAGAAAATACTGACATAACAACATTTTCACCTTAACAACAAATATGAGTTCAATTGAAATACTACAAGAAAAATAACCGAAAAAACGATTTTTAAATCTAAAGTGTGTTTATGATAAGTAAATAAAATGTTCCTGTTGTAAGATGAAAACAGTAAATGTTAAGAGCATTAATTACCTCGACAAGGTTCGGCGTTACAAATCGCAGTGTTTATGTAGCTGCCCACACAAGGTTTGCTGCCGTCTTTTAGGCTGTCGCAGGAGCGATGTCTTGTTTTATGGCCACGCCCACACGTCACGGAACACGCCCCCCAATCATCCCACATGCCCCACTCACCATCAGCTGTGGAAAGATAATTCATAACAGTAATTTTACGGCATTGTCTTGCGGGTACTTTAACAGGCATCTGTCAAATATTTCATAACTTACATCTGTGTTTGCAACTGTAACAGTGACATGGAAAACGTAACAGAAAAATAATTCTTAAAAGCGAAGAATACTACTCATTGTCATATACTACAATAGATTTGTAAACGACTTTTGTCGACATCTTATATTACTTTTCAGACAGTAAGGTCAAAACGTTATACTTTATAGAATGGGAATTATCCGTTATGAGTGAATGGGTGAATTGGGTTTAACGTCGCTTTTGAACAGTATTCCAGTTATATCCCGGCGTGTCAGCTTAATGTGGGAGGAAAGCCCGAAGTGATGCAGGTCTCAGATGTTACCACTCAGGTGAAACCCACGAGCACGGGTATGGTGCTGACAAACCTAGAAACATAATCGGGGCGAACCGGGATTCGAACCCACAATCATAGGTTTCTGGCGTGCCCAAGGGACGCAACTCTGCACAGCGAATCGCGGTCCCGAAGACGACTGGGCCACCCGTGCCCCCTATCCGTTATGAAAATAGATGGGTTCCCATTGTGCATCGGTAAAAGTTTGGCACGCACACGCACACGCACACGCACACGCACACGCACACACACACGCACAAAACACACACAAACACTAACTGAATGTTTGAATAGTTCAGGAAGTTGGTACAGGAATGTTTTTTCTCTTACGCTGTTCATCTTCACACAGCTTTCCAGTAAATCCAGGAGGACAAGCACAAGTGTACTCGGCCCCTCCCCCCGGTCCTGCCAGACATGTTGAGCCCTGAGCACAGTCGTTGTCTTCACACTTGTCTGGCGGGGTCAGACACCGAGGGTCTGTGTACCCTCCACTGCACTCACACTGTGGCTCCATGGTTGCGTTCAAAGAGCACCTCCCAAATAAGCCACAGAACCCCTCACATGGGTCAATTTCTGGGGTAAACATTAAACATTTAATTAGTACCCCCAATCTTGTGACAACAGCAATAGCAACAAAACAGCAATTTGCAAAATGCATAAAGTACCGATCTGTTTGCATAATAACCAATTCACGTACGGTACCTCAGACGCAAATATTACATAAACTTTTTTTTATTTAACACATTTTGTTAATTTTTTTTGCTTATGATTTGTTTTAAATTTACTAAGTCAAGGGATTCTACGAATTTCCATTTTTGGTGTAATCCAAAATACAGAATATTATTATTATGGATGAAAACCATGGGCATACTTATTGTATTTAGGGACCTGGACTAATCATAGCTTAAGTGCCATATTCAACTTCCCTGAAGGGACGAATCTATAAATTCATAGGGAGCAATATGTATGACTTTGGCCCAGTAGTGAGCTGTACAAGACATTCATAGTCTTACCTTGGCATGAAGATGGAACGACCTCCAGAACTCGGTCGAGATAAGTCATGTTGAGGTTTTCCACCGAAAATATAGTGTTTGGCAACATTGCCTCGCACGATCCTGCTAGGGGTGCAATAGTGGTGGCATCAACTGACGACACCAACGCCAAACTCTTGAGTTGAACAGCTTAATAAATAAAAGGCTGATATAACCATGTAAAAACATGTGACAGACACGAATTCAAAGATGAAAGGGAAAGTTTGATATTTTACGGAAAATGTAGATGCATAGACGCTATCACTCGTGTGTGTTTTGAGATATAAATATCCAGTATTGTTACCCATAGGGTTTGCAATAACCGAGTTGATAAAAATCACTGAGTGCAAGTATCACTTCACGCGCGCCAGTATTGTTTATTTCTTACAACCTGTTTGAGATAACTGGTATCAAACATAAGTGTGAGATCGAAATTCCAAGCCCTGTTGGAAATTCCCTCTCCTGTGATATCATCCACTGTCATTTTAGGCAAAGCAAAATTACTGTGTGTTTAGAAATCTAAATATCGGACCCAAAATAACACATTAGTGATCACGGGAATCTGTTTTTCACCAAAACACCAATGATAAATCGGAAATCTCGCCGAGGAAACTGGAATCGTTTAGAATGTTCTGGAAATAACCCAAACACGAACGCCGAAGTGCACTTTCCGCCGAAGTGCACTTTTTGGATAGTGTTGACAAAAATCACGTTTCGCGTATTCGGGTTATGAAACGCATATTAGATCCCGTATATTTCAAACTCAGCTGCGATACATGCATCCCTGAATTCCTCCTACATTGTAGAATCAAGTGACAAATGGTCTTTGTCACCAATACAAATTATGGAGATGACATCAAGCGAAATAAATTAGGTGCAGAAACGAACACTGTGCTCGGAAAGCTGTATTTGATAAAATGTAAACAAAGCAAAATTCAGATTTTACACTCTCCCATTTTGAGAGATCAGTTCTTTTAATTGTTGCAAACATTGGCTGACGCGTCTGAGAATATTCATGGGGAGAGTATCGTAGCACGAATTATGGAATTAAAATTATAATATATATTACAATGATCAAGGAAGTTCAACTAAAATTGTAAAAGTTCCCGTCCTGTGTGACGCCATGACTGACGCAAAGTCACGCACAACGACGACGGTAGTTATCTGCATTCTGACAAATTCTCTTGGTTACATTGGAAACATAAAAACAAATAACAGTACGCAAATTGTCTGATTGTTTCCAATTACTACTATGACGCATTTATGTATATACCATCCCACAATCAACGAAAATCCTCCTCTGAATATCCCGCGTACTCTTGTAAGCGAACATGCAATTTTGTAGAAGTCGGTCACCGGCAGTGATGTCATACGGTAGTAAACATTGTTGTACATATTTGGTAATTTCTTTGAGGTAAATTTGTTTAACTTGGCATCATGCGGGTTCTTTGATCTTATCTGGCACTATCATCATCGCCTTGTAATCCACAGATGGCGGAAACATTTTTAGGTTTATGTGAAGGGTCAGATTATTTATGAATAGTAAGCAGTTCTTCGGATGACGTCACTCCTGACCGTTGTGTTATGTATTAATGCGCCACTGTGATCAGGAGAACAGACAAAATGCATCGATTCGATGCGAAAAAGGTGCGATTTTAGGGTGTGTAAGAAACAGATTACTGCATTCGTGCCTGTCAGATACCATTTATCTTACAACTCGTTGTTTCGAAGCGTATGTAACTGGCTTTCGCTCGTTAGATACGTCTTAGAACAACTCGGCGTAAGATAAATGGTATCTGACAGGCACTCGTGTAGTAATCTCTATGTCATTGTTGTCGTTGACGTCATTCGAATCTTATTGTGACTGTTGACGTCATTCGATAATTCGATAATTGTTTTCTAAGACGGCGGTCGTGATCAGGAATCTCAAAAAGATGAAGAAACAATGGGTAATAAAGAAATGATAACACTCGAATGTGTGTTATACTGATTACTTTCGCTCGTGAAATACATGAATTCTGACACTCATTTCGTCACATTACTATGACAAATCTCTATAAATGCGGCTCATATAAATGGTTTCTTATGATAGTCTCTGGCATCAAATATCTAATAACACCTGAAAAAATACATTTTAAGTCTCAACTTACTGACTTTGTCTTCGACTGTTATTCTCATCCTTGTTCTGGGCGGAATTGTAGAAACGGAGGAGGAAAATTGTTGATGATGAATCTGATCACCGCCTCTGAAGATTGTTATATTATTTGTGGTCCAAGTGAAGGCCACATGTACCCAAGAGGTTGACAGAACATTTTTCTTGATGATGTTGTTACTGCAAGAACAAGCGATGCTTCATTGAGGTGTTGTAGTAATTCATTTTGAGAAGATCATTTACAATCCAAAGATAAAAGGAAGACTGTTTATGTTACCTTTCTGCAATCATGTCAAGGTGAGGCGATCTGGTTTCACATTGCGTATAAATAAAGGATTTCTATTTATCATTATTTATGAAATATTGGTAAACTCTTTATGGTAAACACATCGTTGACCTTTATGGGATGATGGTTTATGTTGAGTCTCGTCTTTTTAATATGATGAGCATTGTAGCTCACCTCACTCAATCGTTTTCTATATATTGAAGAAGGGAGATGCAATATGATATTTCCAATTCAGGTGAATGAACAGACAGTATTTATTGTGATTAATTCAGTCTAAAATCACATGACATCCATTAAATTACTTATAATGACACATAACATAGTGATATTTTAAATCATCTGGATTAATAATTTGATAAATTTGGGAATGAACATACATATATTTACGGACATGCACAAAATTACAGGCCGACGAAGTAAAACGGGCATTAACGGACAATAGAAGTGCTGTCACGTCGTTTTAAATGTGATTACCTTACGGCTGATACTTCAATGTCAGACGATAATGACACGGAGAAGGAAACAGAGTCTTCCAGGAACATCTCAAATTTGATACGATTGCCCTTTGAATCGACCTTGACCCACATACTAAAGGTGAACTCTCCAACTTCAGATTGACAACCTGATGACATGCTGACATTCACAGGGCCCTCCATACTGACATCGTAGGCTGTGATACATTAAAAGGAATCCTTAAATACCGTATTTATGTACGTAAAGGAGATGTTAATCAGCATCGTCGTTTAAATGGTCAAAATTTAGGAATCACATCAACATGAAAATCTACAAAACGATATCACAATGTCAACAAGAAAACAGCGTTATCACTATCCCCCTCCATATTTGTTCAAATTGTAGTGCATATAAACTATAAAAAAGAGTCCTATAAGCCTTAAGCACTTGGGCAGCTTAATGTCATCAGAAAAAATATTAAACGTGAAATTAATACACACAAAAGGCCCCTTCTCTTGATAAAATATCGTTTAGATAAACTAAATTCGGTAGTTTCCGCGAAAACGTGTGACCATTGCAGACACTATGTATGCACCAAGTAAAAGAATATGGAAGAAGGGCCGTAACCCTTCAAAAAATTACGGGACCAATTTACGAACTCAGTCTTAACAAGTATCTCTTAGATAAGCTTGCAAAGTTTCATTCATGTAACTCCAGTTCAGAAAACTTGTCCCCATTGCACACACTATGCCTTAAGTAAAACAACATCGATTAGGGGCCGTAACTTTGTAAAAGAAAAAATTGACGGCACCAATTTTCGGATTCGATCTTGACAAGTATCTCTCAGATAAGCTTGCAAAGTTTCATTCATGTAACGTCAGTAGTTTCTCAGAACAATTGTGTCCCAATTGCAGACACTATGCACTAAGTTGAAAAGCACGGCGCAAAGAAAATAACGACAATGAGCAATGGCAATAACGGACGAAAGGAAGAAAATACGGACGGACGGACGGACGGACGAACTCCGTTCCTATAATAAATAGTGATGATAATAGGCACACATGTACATATTCAAGTAAAACTATGAAAAGGTAAAGAGATATGAAACTAACAGAAAATAGTTGAAAATACAATTAATTTCATTTTCATTTTTCAAAGATATTGTTTAAAGGGTGGACGCTCACCACTGGACCACGGAGGCGGTCCAGACACAAAGACTCGAATTTACTCTAATTTCCAATAATTGATAAAAAAAATACCATCACAACATCAACAGACAATATGGTCCTTGAAAGAACATTATTGCGCCATGAATCGGGTAGCCGGTAGATTAACAGAAAAGCTGAAGGTGAACTTACAAACACATTGTGATTTAGATGAGGAGGCCACTTTCTCTGTGGTGAATCCAGTGGGACATTGTATACATGACTCCTGTCCTTGTTCAGGTTGATAACGCCCTCGGCGACAAGGTGAACATGGAGTCAAACCATTTGCAGACAGATTGCCCGGCTTGCACATTTCTGAAATGGAAAGAGTTTTTCGACATCAGTTGTCAAATATTGAAAGCATATACCAATACCAAAACAACAAAGCACAGTCGATGCATTCTTGAGTGAACGTTTTCTGGTTCCCCACTTGAAATGAGCATGTCTGAATCTACTCATGCTTTGACACCTGTTGGGAGTGCGGGGAAGAATCTACTCATGCTTTGACACCTGTGGGGAGTGCGGGGAAGAGTCTATTCATGCCTTGACACAAGTGGGGAGTGCGGGGAAGAATCTACTCATGCTTTGATACCTGTGGGAGGTGCGGGGAAGAGTCTATTCATGCTTTGATACCTGTGGGGAGAGCGGGGAAGAATTACATAGGTCACCAGTATCCCACGTTTGTTGTAAGATTCAACTCAGTGAATCTCGTGGTCAGGATCCGTGATCTGGTTGGTGGTGTGTCATTGGCCCCGATGACATGGGTAGTTGTGCTCAGTTGCTTTCTTTGGTCCATGCTTATTTTTTACAGACTGACGTGATATAGCTGTAATATTGTTAACTGTCGCGCGAGACAAGCAAACCCTAATAGAGCTGGCGATTATATGGATGTTATTTAGATATCGATAGTGCAGACTTAAGCTGTTCATTTTGATGCGTCATCGGTGCATTGCTGTCTTTAATTGTACAATTCATAGATATTGTCTCCCATACAGAATCTGAAACAAAAATATCCGAAAACTTCCAAGCGAGTCTACAATACTTTAGCTTGTTTATTATTCTTCAGATTCAAGGAAATGAAAATGAAGGGATTCTCAGGGATCTTTCCAATTATTTATTAAAAGATAAATTACCAAAGAATATTTAAGATATCTGTTAAATTTAGAGACATAATGTCAGTCTATAGTCCTTACCTTTACACTGACTTGCGTTGAAGCTGCCCTGCTGGAGAGTGGTATAACCTGCCGGACACTTCTTGCACTCAGTTGACCCTGTGATGTCCTGATAGTGACCAAGGGGACACAACTCACAATTTTCCTCGCGATAATACATTCCTTTTGGACATGGAACTGGAATCAAATATGATATAAACAAGAAGCAGCCTCATATATCTTCACGCTGTCTGCTGTAGAGTTGATTACACTGGTGTAGTTGCTTTATAAAAAGTGTCAGTCTTATAAACTCAGTATTATACACATACCAATTCAATAATAATCGCCCACACAATAAGCTGTAGTGCCGAGCTATATTCACAAACGTTTCGAAATGCGAACAGTGTCCATATGATGTCAACAATGATAGAACATGTGACGTCTTCTACTGTGACAGAATTGCACAGTACCTCAAGAATAATATATCTTTATTTCAACGATTGCATACTTATGCATTTTGCTCATATTAACGAAAAGGGCATGTGTAGCAGGGAATTTATTATTAGTAACCGCCACTAAGAAAAACAATATTTGTAGTTTGCCAATTTGAGCTTAGTGTTTGATTGTTTCACGACAGGTACTGCTCCGCGTTTACTATCCAACATCTACTTGTCGATGCTGATACAAAGCTAAGAATCCTGCACGGTAATATTCTAATATAGTCCACTGGCATTCACATGCTACTGGTCGCCGCTACATACATTTTAATTTAGATATTTAATGGTCGGTCCCTTGTTCTCCATAAAGCTCACCACAGAACACTCACCACAGTTTGATCCAGAGTATTTGCTTTTCACGTATCCATTCTGACAGAGTTCTTTTTCTGGCAGCTTGGTAAGTCCTGATGGGGAAATCATTTTTCCGTTTACCTGAAACTCACAGTTTTTGTTCAAGTCTTGGAAGACGTTATCGAGAGTGCCTCTAACTTTGCTGACTTGTTCATCATTCGATAGGCCTGGTGAGGCCTCTACTTCAACGTCGATGTCAAAGACGATGTAGTTTGTTGTTGATCGTCGAGAACGCCGTACTCCTGCTGGAAGTGACCGTCTTTTCCTTGTTCCTCCACAATAAACCTGCACGTTGTTGACGTTACAGTGCGGTGCCGCTGTCCCAGAACATATACGACTTGTAACACGCTTGGCTTTGTCAATGAATCCCTGTTTAATGTCGCCAATGGCACTGTTGCAAGGTCCATCATACATTAGGTATACTGGTAAACGTCTTTTGTTGAATGGCGTCTTAACAAACACTACAAATTATAAACGTAGAAGAAATTAACTTCATAACAATTCAACTGTCAACAATATTCCTCTTTCAGAATAACCATTTATCATCTTGGTTATTGGATGATCTTGGATGGGAATAGTGATAAATTCGGCTTATGTCACCATATCAGATGAAATAATAATTCGCCAGGTGTGAACACTGACTATTTATGTATTATTATCTGCCTGGACGGAGATTGTTTCATTTTGGCATGGGATGAGAGGACACAGGAGAGGATGGGTGTTATCCCGGAAGAAGGAATTTGCTAGATTTGATATTTAATATGACATGGATTTTTTAAGACTAACACCCTTACACAAACAGCTGTCACCGAACCTCGTCTGATGGCATGTTCATTCTGACTAATGGCACACTCACCATGTGTTTGATAGAAATAAGACGGGCAAGGAATTAGCACATTTCTGATATCAAAATGATACAAGTACTGGTGGTACCCAAATAATGCCCGCCTACCCTTCAATCCTGTACAAATTCCTCCCCTTACCCCCAACAAAGCATCGCAAAAACGCACACAAACGTACACACGCACGATGAAACACACACACACACACACACACACACACACACACCGAGCACACACACACACCGAGCACGCACGCACGCGCACACACACACACACACACACACACACACACACACACACACACCGAGCACACATAAACCAATTCCACCTACATGTACATTCCTGCGGTAGACGGTGGACACCTGGATGCCACGTTGGATCATTTTGAGCGTCACCATAACACTTGAATTCATAATCGGTTCGGTCTGGAATGTCGTACTTGTCGTTACAGTGTACGTTACAGAGCCGCTGTCCAGTCCAGAACCCACAGGAAATAGCGCCGTTCTTTGGCGCCGTAAGGTTCATACACATATCCACTGTAAATCATAGAACAGTGTATATCCTTCACTTTTCTGATTTCAGATTTAATCTATTTTGAAGTGAACATATATGATTTCATTTATTTCTAAATATTGGACTGCTCTGGCTAACATGCTATCTTCCAAATATACCAGGTTTCGAATAATGAACAATACCCAGAAACCTAAAAGCCAAAAAGTTTCCAGACGTTGTAGGCATCGATTTTCAATGTTACTGATGACACAAGAAGTGAGTGATAAATATATGTAAATATGAACTCCGTTTGGACGCAGTTTAGAATACATCCCCAACACCCTATCGACGGTCGTTGGAGGCGACTAAATTGGATTGGGTGGTCAGGCTTGAGTGGACTGTTATTCATGTTTTTGGTCACTGTTTACCTGGTCCAGGCCTACTGCAGTATAATATAACTGCAATATTACCGACTGTTGTGTTGAAGCATGTGCAGACACACATAAAAAGTTCATATTTTTCTCCTTTTTAAATGCGCGGAAGGGAAACAAAGTGTCTAATTGATATTGAACTCGTTACGAAAGCATATGAACTACAGGCGTCTTAGAAGCGAAAACACATCACAAATAAATCACATAAAGGTACTTACGTTACAGTTCACAACGAATACCTAAATGGATTCCAGCAATTGTTACCTTGGCAATATGGTTTTATCAAAGGTGGAGATTCCTTCTGCCCCCAGTCCCAGAATGTAGTAACAGGATTACTTCCTGTGTCCATGCTGCAGTTGATGTATTTCCTCCCTCTCAGTGGGAGCGCCAGGCCACACTCAACTCGGCATTGTTTGCCAACATCAAAAGGAGGAAGACAGTTGGGAGTATCAATGTAATCTCCATTAAACATCGGAGGGTCACACTCAACCCCTACGAGAAAAATGTTTCAATAAAATTCAGCATAATAACATGGCAGTAAGAATTGTAGGTCAATGTGTCAAAGTCATTTATAATTAAAACTGAACTAAATAGACGTACTCTATATATATTCAAAACATCAATGACAACTTAGGCAATTGATTCGACGCTTATAGCGTATGTTGTTATGCATAGATAGATAGAATTAGACCACTGAAAATATTATTACTCATAAAATTCGTTTTAGATTAATTATCATAAAACTAATGTCTTCTCGTTTTCTGTATTATTATAGTTTTTAATATATAATTACTGATTATATCTTCACTGCAAAACACACCAGTCATCTATTTAGTAGCCTCGTGTGGCAGGGATAGGTTACTTGGTAACTATTCTAAACGAGAATCCCTAAATGGATCAACTGTTTGTGTACATTCTATGTATCATGTTTAACATACGTTCAATTTTAACAACGAAGATGCACTGCGTTGCCTTGTTGCCAGCTGCATCCTTGGCATCAAACCGCACTATATGTGTTCCAACTGGGAAGCTGCCGCCGATGCTTGTCACAGTGTGAGCAAACGTTGGTGTCATGGTCACCTGTTGACCAGAGTTGTCTGATACCGTTATTGTCGGCCATATCACCTTTGTGAGGTTACTAGCCGGGTCCGATGTCTGGTGTATCTTCTGTGATGGACAATTGTTGAAAACCGGGGGTTCCACATCTACACAAAGTACATTAATGAAAGTAACCATAAGAAGAAAGACAAAATACGTTAATATATCTGACCATCTGACCTATTTTGCGTAATGGCATATGAAAACACCTGTGTTCAATGAGCCATGTAATGCATACGGCAAAGACACGGCAGTTATCTAAGGCGCCGAAATTTGCTGTACAGGCGGCTACAGGAATCGTATAAGCGTTGATCCGAATACGCAATTCACCCTGAGTAGATATGATCTTTGTATTGTCAGCACCATACCCGTGTTTGTGGGTTTCAACAACATGGTAAACATCTAAGCCTTGCATTACTTTCAAACGTGTTATGGCTGAAATACTGTTCAATTTATATACCATTATGTACTTGAAGTTCTGTTTAATTAATATACCGCAATATGACTGTTCAGTTGATACACTGATATAACTGAAGTACTGTTCATTTAATATTGCGCTATATAACTGAAATACTGTTTAATTTCAGTTTAAATGATAGACCATGAATTTACTGAAATACTGTTCGATTTATAAAGCCATTATATAACTGAAATAGTGTTCAATGTATAGACCACGACACAAATGAAATATTGTTCAAATGATAGACCAGGATGTAGCTGAGATACTGTTCAAACCGACTTCACGACAGGGTCATGCTCCACGGTCTTGTGCCCATTACCAGTACTTTCCAAAAGTTGGAAGAATGGCCATGTGCGGAATGAGACATTGGCTCTGTGTATTCACGACGATAAGCTAGATTGATCACACGGTTTGTAAAGTGGAGCTTAACCACTTAAATCAAATTTGCTGGGACTGCAAAGTCGCCTGAGCCTTGTCACCTATTAACCCTAATGTGCTGACCCGTTCGATTCCAAGTATGCCTAACGCCATAGAATGTATTGTGCACATGTCTACATTGTTAACACATACATGTAAAGATGATCTCTGCACTAAGTGAGAGGGTATTATATATCATGCCATTTGACAAACTTTAGTAAGACCAATCTTATGTAGGATGTAGATTCGTGTTACGGCCATGTCATTCTTACGGGTGACGGATTTGAGTTTGTCAGATGAAATTATACCAAATAAATACCTGCGCATTCGAAATCAGTTGTGGACCAGCCTTGTTCACCGCATTTAGCGTATCTTGCTTTTGTTGCAGCGTATCCTCTGTCTCGGTCACATTTCAACTGGCATACACTTCCATAAAACCATTCATTGTCACACTCAAATTTGCCTGCATTCTTTGGAGGAATCAAAGCACTGCAAGATTTTACTGAAAGCAGAAACAGCCATGCCATGTAAATATATCGTCTACATTCGGCGTAAGATAGATACCGTATTTTCTAACGTTGGACATATGTGAAGTCACTGATATTTAACTTCCTGGCACACACGGCGTTAATGCAGGAGATTAAAACAACAATCAGGCAGACATCCTTTTAAATTGCTGGATTTGCAGACCCGCTGACCGAAAATTGGACACACGTGAAATTAAATTATTTTATTAGTCTTTTTCCCATCGAAACTGCCTCATTGAGTCATTTCATAGAGAATGTTTCAACCAATGCAATTATTTTAAGATCACTTACCAGAATTGATTAACTATATATTTATGTTTATTTCAAGCAACGTCCCTGCGTTTTATTAAAGGTGTCTGTAAAGCAGGTGAGGAAAATAGGGGACTTACCATTCCAAATGACACGTCTTTTTTAATGAATCCGGATTGTGTTTCCATTTCGTTATTAAAGCACCCTCGTATACTTTGTTGACACAGACGGAATTATTCCTATTGTGTACATTCAGTGTCACATATGCTGCTCACAAATGTTGAAGCATGCAATTACAATCAATTCACTTTCACTTTCTTTCTGAATCCAAATCACCTTTTCTTAGTACTTTAAGCCCCAATTGATCTAATGATTGGGGTCACTTAGGCGAACAATCACTTGGTTTTCGTTGCACTGAGTAAGTTTTTCTACTTTTCCTGCTGATCTGTTGAACAAACATCTTGTTCATTCTTAACATCCTACATGTACTTTATCTTCTAACAAATACATTAGGATATTACCCTATGCTAACCCAGCTAGTGACAAGATGACCCCCGGTTCCGAAGCATGTGGTCTTGACATGCTTGTCCACATCACCTAACATGTATTTGATATACACTTGAGAAATGTGAAGTGTGCTTACAATCATATCACTGCATCAGTACAGGGCATTTCAAAGTGTATTCCCTGCGGTATTTCCATATCATATCAAATACATGTACCATACACGTCAATCGATCAATCGACCCGTGAAGAATAGGTCTTCAGCAACCCATGCTTGCCGTAAAAGGCGACTATGCTTGTCGTAAAAGGCGACTAACGGGATCGGGTGGTCAGGCTCGCTGACTTGGTTGATGCATGTCTTCGATCCCAATTGCGTGGATCGATGCTCATGATGTCAATCACTGGATTGTCTGGTCCAGACTCGATTATTTACAGACCGCCGTCATATAGCTGGAATATTGCTGAGTGCGGCGTAAAACAACAAACAAACAAACAAAGGATCAATCGGCATCTTTCTAAATTGTGAATAATCTTTTTACTGATAAAACCGTCCTACCGGACGTGCGAGTGAGATGTGTGAATCGTTTATCTGGAGAGCGTTTATTACATGTACATGATGACTTGTCCATTGCCATAAAATTCCAGTCCGTAAACCTTAGTCAAGAAAATACGGATTAAGCAGATTTTCCTTGATTTTAAATGAACATAATAAATTCGCGACCGTAAGTGTGGCCGGCGTTGACAGAACTGGTTTAGCCAGAGTCCGGATCAGAGAGATCATTTCATTGTATTTATTACAAACCTTTACAGGTCGGAGGCGGTGTCGACCATCCGTTTATCTCGCAAGTAGTTTGTCTTGATCCAACCAGATTATAGCCTTTGTCACAGGAATACTTGCATGTGTCTCCGAACTTCCTCCCCTGAAGACAGTTCACCTTTCCGTTGTTTGGATAAATCAATACGGGGCACCTGTGAACTAATATGAAACAAATGACAATGTATTTGTCTTTGCTATCATACAAAAATACCACATGTAGATGTCAATTGAATGCCCTCATTTTTGTGAACTTACCTTTCAGGGGAAACATATTTTGAAAACATAATGAAATAATATGCAAAAACACTGTATGGAATTGACCCGTGAAGATCCGGGGTAGAATAGGTCTTCAACAACCCATGCTTGTCGTAAGAGGCGACTAAGGGGATCGTGTGGTCAGACTCGCTGACTTGGTTGATGCATATCGTCGTATCCCAATTGCGTGGATCGATGCTCATGATGTCCATCACTAGATTGTCTGGTCCAGACTCGATTATTTACAGGCCGCCGTCATATAGTTGGAATATTGCTGAGTGCGGTGTTAAACAACATCAACAACAACAACAAGGAGCTGCATTTCGTGTAACAGTGTTTGACCAAGAAAAGTCATTAGACATTAGAACTTGTAGACGAGTATACTATTTACCTGGGAATACAGTTTGTTAATCATAATTAAAACATCCACAGGAAATGCTTCAAAGCAATGTTTTGTATATAATACTTAAAAAGGCAAGAGATATTTATCTTCCCCTTGAGTGTCTGTTTTCTGCTTTAGATGTTATGATTTTCCTAATATTATTATACGGGTCTGAAAATGTGAGGATACGAAATCGTACGTTTATGAAGATAGCAATAGGGCTTCAGAACTCATTTCTAATTTCAGGCTTTTGGCAGAGATTTCTCATGAATATATGAACAGGGTTTTGTAGCTTTTATTTAAGGTTGGATGTCTCTTCATAATAAAGTCTACAAAAGAATGACAAATACCTGGCATAAAACAATAACCAGTAAAACAACTTTCTCAATTAGTTTATTACTTTTATTATATATTATGATACGTGTGGTTTGGGCAACATATTTAGTAATCCTCACTCATTCTCTCCTGTTAAATCCGTCATGTTGAAGCCATTTTTTGAAATTCTTCAAGAATGGATAGGCCAGATCACATATCGCTCAAAAGGCACCCTCTATCAGCACCTAAAACCGCATTTATACAGTGTACTTTGAAAGATATCTGAACAGAACAGAACAGAATTTATTTCGTATAGTCTGACCATGAGGCCAATAGTACAGATGGTTGGATAATATTTGACATATTGTGACAGAGCGCTTCAGTAAATATTGGCTTTGGAATTTCTAAGTTTAAACATTTTATCAATATAAAGAGCTAGCTGAAATAAAAGTTGTCATTTGTTGTGAGTAAAAATACAAACATTTGCAGGGTAGGGTTTTGAAAATAATACGAGAGCAAATACCTTTAAGTTATAATTAAGTTAGTATAAGCTGGACATATAAATAGTGCGTGGTATTCATCATCAAAGTCTTCTTTATAGAAATTGCATTGACATGGTCATGGTCACTAGACATAGACAAAGTCATGGTGACTAGACATTCTATATTTATGTATTTTAAAATCATTTAAACAACAAGTAAATTTTGTTAAAGATCTTAAATTTACAGTCTTAATCAATGATAGATATTTTTTCAGGTTGTGGTAAGGATTTGTAAGTGCAATATGAATGTAGCCTGGGTGAATTAGATATACAATCTGGCGATTCTTGCATAAACGAATCTCTTGTTCTTTCCTTCAATGTATACATAAAAACATCACAGTCTCCGACATCTTGCATCAACCATACATTATCAAAACCATAAAGATATCTTTTACTAAACAAAACTGTTTCGTCACCTTTACTTAATTTTAGGACATGTTATCAACTGAAACAGGCCGCTGACAGAACATTCCAAACAGGAAAGAACTTGCCTGTTATTTAACTCTCCCGCAATAGCCGACGAATTTCACTATCTATTTCGGTGTGATTATTTACGTCCTTAAGAAAACACTATATACCCGAAAATTATTATAAATTTCCTAATTTAATAAACAAGAGAATCTCCTTAACACTAGAAACATGAAAACACTATCCATCACGATTCATTAGTATCCTGTTACATGAGGTCAGCATCTTGCCATCTTGATATGTTAATTCATTTATATGTATCCAGGTGAGAATATAGGTCCCCAGCAACCAATGGTTGTCATAAGAGGCGACTAAATGGATCGAGGGGTCAGGTTCGGTGATTTTCATTACATGTCATCGTTTCCCAATTGCATGGATCTATGTTCATGATGTCACTGGATGATCTGGTCCAGACTCAATTATTTTACAGTAACAAACAAAACAAACATCTGTGTTACAGTCAAGGAGGCGGGTTGGCAGAGGTTGTTCAGTCGTCTGACGTGCCGCCATTCGCTGTGCAGAGTTGCGTCAGTTTGTAAATGCCATGAGCCAAGTAGTCAGTGAGTGAGTTTAGTTCACTGTCTGTTTAAATGTCAAACTTTTTTACAGATCAGTAAATATCCCTTCAAATTTCTATACGTGGCATAACCCTTTTACATCTGAAGACTACTTTGTCCCAACATTCTCTTAAATCAAGAATGTGCCCAAATGCATTATAATAGTACATCGTATCCATTATAAGTGTCTTGTGTCATCCATAGAGATGATGTCATGTATTGTATATGTAATATTTGTTCACTCTCCTCTGAACATGAGAATATGGAATCTGAATCTGATCCTGAATCTGATCCTGAATCTGAAACAGTTATGTCACGGTGTGTCAGCTTCTTGTGGGAGGAGTGCCCGAAGTAATGTAGGTTTTATACTTTTCCCGCTTTTATCACTTTGGTGAACACCGAAAACATGGGTGCTGAAAACATGAGACACATAACCTGGGCAAATCTGGGATTCGAACCCACCATCATTGGCACACCCAAGGGACGTGTGAAATTGTAGAGTCTTAGACAATTTGGCCAGTCGTGACCCTTGGAATAACAACAGTATGTAAACATAATTATTCAAAAGGGAATAAAACAAAGGACTTACCTTTAACCGTAAAACATTTGTCGGGGCAAATCGACCAAAGATGAGTGCAAGTGTCGGTGGTTTTATATTGTATGCAGTGTTTCCCCTCAGCTAAAGGAGTACCAGGAGGGAAACCATTGATCAAGGTCAGCTCGAAACATCGTCTGAAAACGATATGATACATTTGCATTAACAACGAGTGAAATGTCATGTGTGTATGATGTCGTGTTTTTTATATGCATTGTCAAGTGTACATGTGACTAGTGTACGTGTCCGATGGTAAATCAAAACGTTTGTGGCCTCAAAGATATTGCTTTGTGTTAGGTGAGGTTTTCACCGGGAGTATGAAGAATATCATCTCTTGGAAGACATAACACCCTTGAATGTAAGTGAGGCAGTGGTAGCACTTAAGATGACCTTAGAAACTGAAAGTGGAGGCTTCCCAATGCATGGTTATGGCAAACTGACGTCATAAAATTAAGGAGGAGTTATTGGACATCTCGTGGAAGGTCAGGCCTATACGTACTTAGGGATGCAGGTTTTTTACAAACACCAGAATGCCCAAATCAAGGGAAAACGTCGGGCAGAGTACAAATGTAGACTTAAGAAAATCTCAGAGCTGAACGCTCGCAATAAAGTTAAAGTCACAAATACATATGCTGTACCCGTCCTTTCATATTCTTTTGATTTAAAAAAATTTGTTGATTAGACGAAACAAGAAATTCAGAGTATTGACACCTTCACACAAAGAGTCATATCAGACAATAGATCCCACCACCCTCGCTCTTCCCTCAATTGCTTATATTTACTAATCATAAGGGGAGGGCGTGGTTTGATTAACGTTGGGGCTCTTCATGATAGAATTGTTTTGTACACTTTTGCAAACATTTATTTGTCTGATGATCCTCTTGTGAAGCATGTCAAGATGAAAACAAGGCATTCCACAGTGTACGTAAACGAGCCAAGTTTGTGGGACATAATCTCAATGTCATTGTTTATTTTGTTGATGGTTCCGTTCAGCTAGGCGGTACAGAAATGGGTGTCAATCAATCGTAGTGCTATATCTAATCTGCCCAGACTCAGTTTTTCAAGGAGTAGCTATCATAAAGTTCCTAACTTCCACCAAGGCGTTCGCTGCTCAGCGGCGATATGACAGTTAGTCCAGTATTTTTACATAAGATGGGTGCAGAATCATGTTTGAGTTTCTGAATGTTCAGAATGTTTCTTTCCTTGGACCTTGTTTGAGGTCGACTGGAAGGGAATTCCAGAAGCCACTGAAGAAAGTTCTATAAGCCAATATTGTCTTGGTGTCTGGAATCGTAAGGCAGATACTTAGTTGACGTGAGGGTTATGAGCCGATGAAGATTCTTAAGAACAGGGTGATATCTACGTGTTCATCTCATCTGATAAGTAACATTGTTTTAAATCACGAAACTGGTCTTATTAAATACAAATCAGGAAGCTGCAACTGTCTCACTTGTTAGAAAGTTCTGTTCCTTCAAAATCAGTGTGGCAAGTGTGGCCAAGTCATCTACGGTGCCGCAATTTCCTATGCAGAAATGCTAACCTTGGTCACGCAGGAAACCTTCTATCGTGGGTTTGAATCCCGGTTCGCCCCGGTTATGTTTCTAGGTTCGCAGCACCATGCCCGAGCTCGTTGGTTTTACCGACGTGGTCAACGTCTAAGACCTGTATCACTTCGGGCTTTCCTCCCACGATTTGCTGATATATTTGCCGTATAACTGGAATACTGTTCAAAACGGCGTTAAAACCAACTCACCCCAAAATAGTAAGTGAGTTATGTAAGACATTAACACACTGTGTTTGGATTTTAAATCTAGGTTACCTATATTGGATCCATGACACAATAAACGTGAACTGTCAGCAAAGATATTGATTGAATTAATTGAATTAATGAAACATTGATAATAACATTTTAACAAATATGGCGCTTTATATGCTTAAACATTGTAGTTTTACATCATTACACTTCACTTTAATGTGACAGGCATTGAAGGTATGCAGCTCAGCTGCTTCGTCAGCTAACATCAACTGGGCACTTTAAAGAAAATTAAGCAAACCTTGTAATGTTTTGTTGTACACCTTTTAGCCGCTTACTATCAGTATATATCAAGTTTACTTCTAGCCGCTGACTGTGACACAAACTATCTGACGTCACATATGGAGAAACACCAAATATCAAACTCTCTGTTGTCTTGTAAACTTTAAATACACCTTTTCGTCGATTTCCAACGTGTTTTGTGTGCAAACAGTATTGTTACACATAGCCATGACATGCATATGTCTATAATTACTTAATTTGCCATTTTTTATAAGATGTTAAACCCAATTGTTAATCCCATTGTATTCAAAATAACCCTTTGAAATACCAGCCGACAACCGAACGTCACTGAACTGCGTTTGGGATTAGACTTACAGGTTGAGTTACCATGTCGCCTCTCAACCAAATTTAAGACAGACTGGATACAAACCACTCTCGAAGTGACAGAAAATGGATCAGTTATCTAACTTTATAATGGCAGTGTCATATACATTGCAACATTTCCCCACAATGTAATCTGTTTCGGCAAATAATCGAGACCGATTATCTCTGGTGTCGGCGCGTACAAGCATGACTCAACATTCATGTATGTTAGGTCAAATACAAATAGCTTTGAAGTCAAAGACGTGTTCAAATCAAACATCCACACAAGTATTACCTGAAATCTCCCATATTCATCTATTTACATATTAATCCATACACCAGTACTATATAAATCCATACATCCATGCCATATCAATCCTGACATCAGCAACATATCAGTCCATACATTAGTATTTTATAAATCCATATCAATCCTGACATCAGCAACATATCAGTCCATACATTAGTATTATATAAATCCATATAAATCCTGACATCAGCAACATATCAGTCCATACATTAGTATTATATAAATTCATATCAATCCTGACATCAGTGAGTGAGTGAGTTGGGTTTAACGCCGCTTTTAACAGTATTCCAGCTATATCACGGCGTGTCAGCTTACTGTGGGAGGAAAGCCCGAAGTGATGCAGGTCTCAGACGTTTAGCACTTCGGTGAAGCCCACGAGCAAGGGTATGGTGCTGACAAACCTAGAAACATATTTGGGGTGAACCGGGATTCGAACCCACAATCATAGGTTTCTGGCGTGCCCAAGGGCCGCAACTCTGCAGCGAATCGCGGTGCCTTAGACGACTGGGCCACCCGTGCCCACCAACGTTATATTATTGAATTGAATAGAAAACTGAATGCCTAATCACCTGTTTGATTGAACGGGCCACTTTACATTGGCTGTAACCTTTCTTTTGTCGGCAAAATAATTTGTATTTATACTTGGGCTCCATGGAGTTGGTGGAGATGGAGGTGGACGCCCTGAAAAGAAATAGTAAAAGTACATGACCAATCATAATGTCATATTTAAGTTGGTTACCCGTAGGGATTCCGGATGAGAAGACTGATCCTCAGCAACCTACACTTGTCATAAGAGGAGATTAAATGGACTGTGTGGTCAGGCTCTTTGACTTGGTTGCGTGAATATCATCGTATCTCAATTGCTTGGGTCGATGCTCATATATAAAGGTTCTGGGTGCGGCATTAAACAACGAACAAACAAGCACATTTAAATGCATGTTTATATCACCTGATATGCTTTGAGATAATGAATAAGAAAGGATGGTACATGCATATGCTATGTAAGCACAAATGTACATGAATGGACTTGCGTGTCACCCTGTGTACGTGTCAGCTGATTCTTGTAAACTACAGAGGACTAAAGTGGCCATCGGCTGTTAACAGGTCTTCGTGACTTCGCTCAAAGGTTGCTGACTGCTTTGTTCAGTACTCAGTTCGAGAAATGTTATTACTATAGAATGAAACTATTTCTCGTACATGCATCCCTTAGATTTGATATTATCCGCTGATCATGGGCTCGTATGTCATTTGCATTTGTTTATAAGCACCAAAACTGTTTTACAGAACATATTATACTCACGTCGATGACAGCAGCACGCATAGTGTACGCTCACTGCAACACATATATTCATATGTTTATAGGTAATGTTGTTAGAGTAATATTAAACATTGATAGATGATGATTTGATTTTATGTCGATTAACAATAGACAATATACCTAATCATTACACGATAATATGCCATTCAAATACACAATACCTGCTAAAAGAACGGACGTAAATCCCAGCCCCATCAATCTCTTTTAGGATCTGAAAACAAATCTGAAACTGTTATGACACGCAATAGTACACGTCTGTTGTAGTTTGTTTGTTTGTTGTTTAACACCACACTCAGCAATATTCCAGCTATATGATGGCGGTCTATAAATAATCTAATCTGGATCTGACAATCCAGTTATTGACATCATGAGCATCGCTCCACGCAATGAACACCCGATCCCGTTAGTCGCCTCTTACGACAAGCACGTCTGTTGTAAAGGTCACGGTACATGCTACATGTATCTGGTTACGAAGGAAATATATATGTTATCTGTTACGAAAGTAATTCATTGCAGTGCAGATTATCCGTCATGAATGTGGTGATAATAGGAGGCCAATAAAACAAACAAACCAATCATTTCCGCAGAATCAACTTGATAAACTAAATGACATTATTTCTGTTACTCTCAATGCGGACTGTTCTTTGCATGATATTAACTGTTGCGTCTATGCTGCTGCTCGAACACTGGAGGAACTCCATACTGTTTCCAAAGACATTGAACCACAAAAGGGTAATATCTAGGGAAAATCCTGGACAGAACTTTGCTTAAAATTACGTTCATCACGGCAATCAATGTCAAAACGCCAAAAATCAGTTCGGAAAAAATTGAAAACAAAATAGAAGACAACGAAAGGGAAAATTCTAAATCAAATTCTTGAAACTCTGAAGGCAAAATTAAAGGTTTGGACAGAAAGAAGAAGAAAGTGGGACAAGAAAAATAATTTCATAAAACAAAACAAATTGTTCAAATCTATTGAAAAACAATTTTACAGGCCATTAATTTCAACCAATGGCAGTGATAAGAAAATACCCACCATAAATTCCTCTGAAAGGTTTTGGAAACAGTTGTGATCTACACACGACAACCACGGAACCATGGGTAAAGGATTACAATGATTGTGAACTTGAAAAAAACATAAGGTCACCATTGTTGTGTTTCATTACACCTGATTGCCTGAAAAATGTCCAAATCTAATACGGCGCCAGGGCCTGATGGTATTCGAAACAAGTTAAGGAAACTGTTCCCATGTGTTCAAACACCATTACATCACTGTTTTAAATCTTTTAAGCATACAGGGGATGACCCCGCCTTGGTTGTGCAAAGGTCGAACAATACTTCTCCCAAGGAAAGGTGACTTGACAGATCCCAAAAACGTCCGCCATATTACTTGACTGAATACACAATACCAAATATTTTCTGGGTGTCTTACAGATCTTGTGTCATCACTTGCGCTTCCAATGTCATTATTTACATGGAGCAGTAAGGAGCCAGGAAGGGATGTTGGGGTTGTAAGGATCAATTGCTAGTTCAGAATGATCCTTGAAGATAAAACTGATCACCGCAACCTCTCATTGTGTTGGATAGATTAAATGTGTTGATTCTGTACCTCACGAATGGATTTGGAAGTCACTGGAATGTTTTGACCTCCCCAAGCGATTCTTCGTGTCAATACCCCTGGTATAAGATCGAGTTATCAGTGGCGTCGAACATAATGGAAATATCTAACTTAGTAAAACCAACAGTGTAAATTGTTGACTTTCCGTAGGCTTCATTATGTCATCATGAAGATTAACAAGTGCTGTTTCCGCAAGTTGGAAGGTTCTAATAGCTTAAGTGTTCTGCTAGACGACGTGAGACTTGGATATTTGGAAATGAATGACAGATTTGACACGCGTCTGTGGTTCTTCAAGTTGTTGGTGACTTCGAGTGACTACGGCTTGCTTGAAAACATTGGGGACTTCGACATGGTCAGAGATGTGTTTATTACATCTATCAGAGGTAGTACTATACTGTCAAACAACAAAGGAACTGAAATCAAATTCAGCAACGCATTGTTCACTGCGGATATGTTGTAATCTTGGAGTTAAAAAAGACTGCAAATCGCTACTCTAGATCAACTACTTCCTCTGGACGAATGTGAACAGTTACTTCGTATTGCATTGTTCCATTCAATGCAGACGCGTATAAAAGTCTGCTTAGCTTGCAATAGGGCCGTGTTGACATCGCTTCCAGACTGTTTGTGGTGCTGGCGGTGCAATTTCAACTTAGACGAGCGACACCGTTTCTCTGCTGCGCAGCAAATATTTTTCTTTTCAAGAAAATCATCATTTTCCACCAAGAGTGAAACCGGATCACAATGCATCTTGATTTCAATTGGGCATGTGAATCCAATATGTTAGATGGTGTTCATGTGACTGAGGCTGCTTTGTCATTGACATATTCCATGTTGGATAAAGATTCAAGCGTATTCGAAGATTCAACATCATTTGAGAAATTATTCATGACAATATTCCTCGATTTCCTGTAGCTGTGGTTTTGGTTTGGCGAATTTGACACAGCACTAGATAATAGAGTGACCTGACATCAGTTTGTCACATACATTTATATCTACAACATCCACATTGTGTCATTATCCTTCATGATGATGAGAGGGGCGGTGGGGTAACCTAGTGGTTAAAGCGTTCGCTCGTCACGCTGAAGGCCCGGGTTCGATTCCCCACATGGGTACAATGTGAGAAGTCCATTTCTGATGTCCCCCAGTATACAAAGAGTATTATATTTCGATGTCTCATATTAACATACATGAATTGTGGATTAGTTTGTTTCTGAATCAAATTAAAAGTTGAAGTTTTACAACAGTGAACCATTTTAACTGGAGAAATTATTTATAATTAAACTCAAATTTGTCAATTTACTGTTTTTAAACAAAATATTTGTCTTTTGAAGTTTGATTTAACATGGAATTTGACTTCTTTAGGTAAAACCCACATACCTTGATAATCTCTGAAAACATGTTGTCACCCTCAGGAAAAAGGGCTGAGTCATGCCTTTAGTATCCCCCTACTGACAAAATGGTCAAGACGTATTTTGTAAGAAATATATACTGAACCGCAAAAGAAACGTCACCATGGATAGATATATGAGAAACCTTATTTGTCCAAACACTGTAAACATACTTTGAGATATAATAAAAAGATGAAACTTGGCAAAACTGATCATCAAGATAGAAATTAAAGTGTCAAATGTTCTTAAACACAACACTGGTCTCTGAGCAAATATCATTACAAGCCATTATCTCGTGTGTCCGCCATGTGCATTGAAGATTGCCGTGCAACGTCGATACATGGAATGGACGAGGCAGTTTATGAAGGCCATAGGCACCACTGCCTCTCCCTGGACCGATGTTCTGGAAGACCACAGGGCCGACCCTCTGTGCAAGGCCAATTCCACCCTCCACCGTGGTGTCAGAATGGGTCCTCGGTGTGGCCTGTGACAAAGGAGGTGTCTGCTCGTCTATCGTCGACGCACGGTGTCCGCACTAATGTGTCGCTGGTGTGTCCCCATGGTCTGTCGAGCAGTTTCCGCAGCAGTAACAAAGGGATCTTGAAGATGCCGACGCACAATCTGACGATCCTGACGTCGGGTGGTGAGCCTTGGTCTTCCACTACGTGGTCGGTCATGGTACCGTTGCTGTAGCCTGTATATGGTCCTTACGTGGACTTGAAATGCATTGGCTACTTGCCGGACGGTTTGTCCGGCTTGCAATCGTCCAAGGGGTTGGTGTCGCTGATTTTTTGTCGATCTTGGCATGTGGTAGCAATTCAATAACGAATGAATGTTACCCGATCTGGGTGGATTTTTATAGGGCAAGAAATGGGGGAACCCAAGTGCATTTCAATTTGCACGCAACTCACGTGCATCGGGTTACCATTTATCATCAAATTTCATTTTTCCGGACAAGGTAATGTTAAATTTTAGAAACTTTGACAAAACTTACCCAGATATTTGAATGACAACTTTTCATACGATGTAACTTGAGGTGTCGTTTCTTTTGATGTTCAGTATATGTTTGAATCGCCCAAACATAATGATATTGTTACGAGAATTCAAAACGTAAGGGACCTTTCGGGGTAAATAAACATACCCTAGCTCTTAAAGTGTGTGGCACTGATGTGTGGCACCAGTTACATGCTGCTTAAGGTTGAAGTAAGAGAGTAAATCACAAAAAGCTTTTAGAATGGCAGTCCGTTTCTTTCTCCACAAGAATGTTAAAAGAAAGAGTATAAGGTGACCTGATTCAAGTGCGAAGCATTCAAGTTGATCAGAAAATCCCTTCAAGAAATCCTCATTTGAGAGTTTTTGCTTTTTGGACGGCGACAGAGTAGAACTGGTCTAAGCACGTCACATGCAAGCTCGCTGGTTATATGAACATATATGTACATACATGTATATGAGATTTGGACTGGATGCGTTGGACCGGAAGTGATTGTACAATAATAATCGCAACATCACCTCCTTTCCTGTGTGATCTGTTGGTCTGTACTACGTTGTAACCTTCTGGCAACAAGCTCTTTTAAAACGGCTTCATCATTGTCTCCCAGTCACGTCTCAGTAACTGCAAACATATCATTATCCATTTCCATGGTATGGTAATCCAGCATAAGAACCTAGTTCCCATTGGACAGTGCATCCATTCTTCCATGTGTGGACTGTAGGGTTGAAAGTGACAGCTGTTTGGGTATTATCGACTTTCACCAGCTTATCTTTTATCAAATGGAGGGACAGTCATAACGTTGTCAACATTTACTTCACAATGTTTGATAGGAACTATTCCAGAAGATATTTGAGTGACATAGATTGGTATCCGTTTATCGCGCCCTTCTCAAGAAGCCCGTTTAGTTCCTTGTACACAACGTATTTTACGCTTTTTCGGAGTTCCGACAGCTGCCCATTGACACAGCACAATAGCCAGTGGTCGATGGATTTAGCACACCCAAGCTAGAGCAAAGTGTAAGTTTATCAGCTCTATACAAAATGTTCAAGGTCAACAACAGCAGATACATTGTCCAACAGTGTTAACATCAAACGTTGGATTTACCATTTGGATTATCTGGCCCCTTATCCATTACTGTTCTAAGTTTTGTGTTTTGCAGTTATTTCAAACAGGAGAAAATGACAGATTTTGTGAAAGTGATACACACTGCTGCTCCCAAGTGCAATGAACCCCACAATGATATCTGCTATGAAGGTAATCGAACATGACATCTG